CTTGCTTGCTGAAAGTGAAGAGGACTTGAAGCAGTTACTGATGAAGATCAAAGACTACAGCCTTCAGTATGGATTACACCTCAACATAAAGAAATCAAAAATCCTCACAACTGGACCAATGAGTAACATCATGATAAACAGAGACAAGATTGAAGTCGCCAAGGATTTCATTTTACTTGGATCCACAATCAGCATCCATGGAAGCAGCGGTCAACAAATCCAAAGACACATTGCATTGGGCAAATATGCTGCAGAAGACCTCTTTAAAGTGTTAAAAAGCAAAGATGTCTCCCAGAAGACTAAGGTGCGCCTGACCCAAGCCATGATGTTTTCGATCGCCTCATACGTATGTGAAAGCTGGACAACGAATAAGGAAGCCTGAAGAAGAATTGAGTCCTCTGAATTATGGTGTTGTCAAAGAATATTTAATATACCATGGATTGCCAGAAGAACAAATCTGCCTTGGAAGAAGTACAACCAGAATGCTCCTTAAAAGCAAGGATGGTGAGACTTTGTCTCACATATTTTGGACATGTTATCAGGAGTGACGAGCCTCTGGAGAAGGACTTCATGCTTGGTAAAGTAGAGGGTCATCGAAAAAGGGGAAGACATTCAATGAGATGAATGGACACAGTGGCTGCAACAATGGGCTGAAGCATAGCAATAATCGTGGGGATGGTACAGGACCAGACAGTGTTGCTGTGAGTTGGAAATGACTCGATGGCAGCTAACAAGAACAACATATACAAATACCTTTCACTGGTTTTGCCTGTCTTGAGAACCCAGCCTAAGACAGTCATGTACCTCGACCCCAGGTGTGGGCCTGCCCGACTTGAGGATAATAATGACCTCTGAAATGTGTGTGCTTGTTAAGTGAAACGCCGGTCAGTGGAAACAGTTAACACCTTCGGCTGCTAACCAAAAGGTTGACGGTTCAAGTCCACCCAGAGGTATCTCAGGAAGAAAGGCCCGATCTACTTCTGAAAAATCAGCCATCGAAAACCATGTGGAGCACACTTCTATTCTGACACACTTGAGGTCGGAGATGACTTCACAGCAACTGTTTTTGTTTTGCTTTGTTTTGTTTTTTAATTAAGTGCCAGTCACTTGCATTGTTCCACTTATGTCTCTGGTCATCTCCATGGTGGGGACTTCGCATCTCCGTTTCACAGAGGAAGGGTCAGAAGTTCTGAGGGTGAGGTGGTTTGCCCAGGGCAAGTGGTGGAGCTGGGGTTTGAGCCTACATTTGTCTCAGAGCTCTGTAACCCCACTGTCCACCGCCCCCCAGAGAGCTCCAGCAGAGTGACCTGAGCTTGCCAGGCCAGTGTCGATCCTGGGAGAGGGTCAGGTCGCAGTTCTTTAGGAACACACCTACCTGGCTGAGGGTCCAGTCAGGAGCCTTTGTGCAGGCTGGAGACCCCTTCCCCGCCCTGTCCCCCAGGCCCTGCCCTTGTTCTTCTCTTTCTGCACATCTGCCCCAAGCCTGAATAGGGTGGGTCCACCTGAGAAGCCCTCAGAGGACAGCTTTCTGATTCCAGAGCCCCCTGGATGTCAGCTCCAACTCATGGCGAGTTTTCCCTGCCCCCCTCTTGTCCCTTCACCCTGCTGCCCTCAGCTCGGATAAGGGGTGAACCTGGCTCTTAGAAAATAAACGATCGCTGGTGATTTATTTGCCTGGTCTGGAGGGCACCATCTAGGGCAGGGGTGGGCAGGAGAGCAGGGCTCGAGGGTCCCGAGGCACTCCTTCTGGGGGGGTCGAGTCACAGCTGGGGCCGGCCGGCTGGGGCCCGAGGTGGGGTGAGGTGGCTGGTCAGGAAGCGCACGGCTGAGCGGATGCCCTCGATCGTCCTCCGCTCGACTGTCTCCAGCATGTGTGTGACAGAGCGAAGGGCCGAGCCTGTGCCTGCCAGCAGCCCGGAGGAGAAGGCCGAGCTGGCACTGTCCAGGATGCTGGAGGCTGAGCGCATGCTGGGCCCGGTGCCCTGCAACAGGTCCGTCACAGAGGCATGGCCGGAGCCCAGGAAGCCCATGGCCATGCCCGTGGTGGGCTCAGACCACACCAGGATGTCCGCCAGGGAGCTGATGGAGCCCTCGCCCCCGCCCAGCAAGCTGGTCATGGAGCGCATGTAGCTGTTCTCCTCGTTGGCCATGTATAAGCTAGAGTCCAAAGGCCTCCTCCCTAGGGCCACTGGGCACAAAGCAGGTGATGGCGGGGCACTGCACCCTGGGGATGAAGGGAGAGACTGAGCCTGTGGCTCGTCTGAGCTGTCCACCCAAGGGCTCAAAGCCTCCGGGCCCCCAGGTTGCTCCTGAGCGGCCTCAGTGTTGCCAGCGGCCTGAGTGTCAGGCTGCCCCTCGACATCTGCAGTGGGCTGGGTGGCGGGACTCACGGCATTGGCATCTACGTCTGGTTGACCAGCAGCGCTCTCAGCGGGCTGTGCCTCAGCGGGCTGTGCCTCAGCACGTGGGGTAGGTGGGGCTAATTCCGGATGCCCGCTGGGGACACCCTTACTTTGTGGTGTCTCATCCTTATCCAGGGAGTCCTGTTGCAAAGTCAGCTGACTTTGGCTGGTCTTTGCCTCTTGAACCAGCTTGATCACCGATGTGTCCTGGAGGCTCGTGGAAGCTCGCAGAGCACCTGGGGTTTCATGGAGGAACAGAAATTTTACCTCTTTGGGCCTCTTGCTGTCCTCTGGGACACACCCCAATGGTGACTTGGCCTCTGAGGTGGCCGGCTGGGCAGGGTCCCGACTTATATCCTGCTGGTTAGCTGGTGCTGAGGTGCCACTTGCCTGGCTTTGGGACCCTCCTGCTGGACTGTCTGCCACGCTGCCCAAGGATGCCTCAGGAGTGCCATGTGGGGGGCTGCTGGTGGCTCCGGCCTCTCCTGAGGGCTTGGTGGTCATCTATGCCCTCTGCCACTGTGATGGTTCCAGGGAGTGGCCGTGGCCCTGCCAGGCTGAGTTGCCCAGGTGGTGAGGTCACAGGGGCCTGCGGGCAGCTGGCGATGTCACAGGCACCTGCAAAGCCAGGGCCCTGAGTGTCCTGAGGGACTGTGGAAGGAGGCCGAGTTTGTGGGTATACGGGGAAAGAAAGCCGAATGTCTTGGCAAAGGTGGAGGTGTGTGTGCAGGTGCAAGACAAAGGGCCCCTGAGGAGTCATGTTGGTGGTGACTGATGGTGGGAATGAGATGCAGATGTTGACTTCTAATGAACATTTACACAGGACACCTCCCAGCTCCTCTGTGTCCATACTGGTGACCCAGAAGCCAGATTTGGCTAGTCTTTCTGGAGAGGACCGGTTTCCCAGCAGCAGTGAGTATGAACAAACAGCTCCTGGCCCTGGCCATTTTTGGCTGTGGGCTTAGCCCTTTTGGCACAAAACAAAAAATCTCCACTTCTCCCTACTCAACTGGTCCAGGAGGGCAGAGGATAACAAAAGAACTACGAAAGGTTGAGAGTCCTTGGAAAAATGTAGAACCAGATAAACCTACTGTGATTATGCTCTTCATTAAGAAGGTGGTTGGAGTGGAAGGTTCCAGCCTATTGTGTCTGTGTTCTCCCTAGGTCTGTCAGCTAAATTTGCTGTTGTTGTTGGGTGCCGATGAGTCGATTCCAACTCATAGCGACCCTGTGTACAACAGAACGAAACGCTGCCTGGCCCTGCACCATCCTAACAATTGTTGCTATGTTTGAGCCCATCGTTGCAGCCACTGTGTCAGTCCATCTCGTTGAGGATCTTCCTCTCTTCCGCTGACCCTCTACTTTACCAAGCATGCTGACCATTTCTAGGGACTGATCACTCCTAATAACATGTCCAAAGTACATGAGATGAAGTCTCACCATCCTCGCTTCTAAGGAGCATTCTGACTGTACTTCTTCCAAGACAGATTTGTTTGTTCTTCTGGCAGTCCATGATATATTCAATATTCTTTGCCAACGCCGTAATTCAAAGGTGTCAATTCTTCTTCAGTCTTCTTTATTCATTGACCAGCTTCCACATGCATATGAGGCAAGTGAAAATACCATGGCTTGGGTCAGGCACACCTTAGTCCTCAAGGTGACATCTTTGCTTTTGAACACTTTAAAGAGGTCTTTCGCAGCAAATTTGCCCAATGCAATACATCGTTTGATTTCTTGACCGCTGCTTCCATGGGCATTGATTGTGGATCCAAGAAAAATGAAATCCTTAACAGCTTCAATATTTTTTCCATTTATCATGATGTTGCTTATTGGTCCAGTTGTGAGGATTTTCATTTTCTTTATGTTGAAGTGTAATCTATACTAACATTTAGTGACTTCTTATCATGGGCAAGAGAAGGAGCTAAGCATCTAATCCTTCCAGTGACTCTATCATCTCTAGGTAGATGTTGCTGTTGTTGTTAGGTGCCGTTGAATTGGTTCCAACTCTTAGCGACCCCATGTATAGCAGTACGAAACACTGCCTTGTCCTGCACCATCCTCATAATTGTTGCTATGTTTGAGCCCATTGTTGAAACCACTGTGTCAATCCACCTCGTCGAGGGTCTTCCTCTTTTTCACTGACCCTCTACTTTACCAAGCATGATGTCCTTCTGTAGGGATTGCTCCCTCCTGATAACATGTCCAAAGTACGTGAGATGAAGTTTTGCCATCCTCCCTTCTAAGGAGCATCCTGGCTGTACATCTTCCAAGACAGATTTGTTGGTTTTTCTGGCAGTCCATGGTATATTCAATATTCTTCTAGGTAGATATGAATCTATTATACCCATTTTACATACATGGAGACAGAGCCTCCAAGGGAATAAATAATGTATTTAAAGTCACACTGCTAAAAAGCACTGAATCTAGGATTTGAACCCTGTCTGCTTCAGAACTCAAGCTCTTCGCACTAGCTTATACCCAGGAGTGACTTTAAAAATATTCAGTGACTGGAATGGTGAGAGCACTGAGGAATGCAGATGGAGGACTACCATGATAACTGGTTCTGCCACACCTGTGTGTAGCAGCTGAACGTCAGCTCTGGGTTACGCCATCCTCAACATGGTCACAGGTGTATACAAAGTTCTCCTCCCTGGAACTCGCTCTTCCTACACTTTCTCCCATGCCTCCTCCCTGGTCTCCGTCTTCTTCTTTGGCTCCCCTCCCCATGCCCCCCAGATTGGCCCCCCGGTTTTCTCCTCATTCCCTTCACATGACCACCTCAACCAGTTTCACTGTTACTCCTCTGAGGTTGACTCCCTGGTGTTCATCTTTTGCCACTTCTCCTGAGCGCCAGGCTCAACGTTTGCTAAGTATTTATTCTTCCCATGAATACCCTGCTGCCACATCAGAGGTCACAGGGCAAACTCGTTTATTGGATCGGGAGGGACCAAATTTCTACCTTGTGGAAGGTACTCTTCAGCTTCCCGTGGCTGCTGCTTGGTGTGTGGGCCTGGAACTTTCTAGAACTCTTCTGCCCCTGCCCACAGACTCCACACTCCCACATCCACCCCAAGAAGGGCAGTGCAGATGCCCCCTGCTGTCTCTGAGGCCACCTGGGGCAGACACAGGCAGGGTCCCCGCAGTGGAGCCTGAGTCAGGGGGCTGGTGCCTCTGCCTTGAACTCTCAGCCCCAGCTCCCCACCCCCAGGGCAGCCCTTCTGAATACACCCTAAAGGGGGGGACTCCTGATTCTGCCTTCCCAGAACTCGCACTTACTGAATGTACAAGAAACTCTAAGCAGGTGGAGAAATCTGGCTCCGTTAGCAGATGGCATGGGAATTCCACTTGGAACATGCACATTGGATTTGTTTGGAAGAAGTAGGTTAATAAGCTCCATGGGGTGAGGGCTGAGACCGCAAGGGCATTCACAGGCTACAGAAGGTAGTTACTACCCTGCTAACTTAGGAGGGTGGGTGCCATGAGCTGAGGGGTTGAAACAGGTGGGGCTTGGGGGTAGGAGGGGCACTGGAACCCAGTTCTACTGGAAGAGGGTAAGGATTCTATGTTCTTGGGAATGCAGGCATTGGCGGGGAGCTGCAAGGCTGGGCAGCAGAGGGGCAGTCAAGGTCAGGCAGCCCTAGGGGGGTAGGCGGGACTTGGTGAGAGCTGAAATATCCACAGGGAATTTTTAAGTTGTTTGTGTTGAGGTCTCCAAGGTAAACCCCTTACCCTCTCCTCCACAACATCAAAAACCTTGCTTCATTTGCGAAGGCTTTCGTGTGAGAGGTGGCATCCAGGGGAGCGTTTTCTCCTGGAGGCTGGCTTGGAGCAAACACTGACACAGCCCGTGGGGACAGACAGGGCCAGAGAATAAGGAGGTGGATGGCCTAGTTACAAGCTGGGGCTGGGACAACTAGTTAAGTATTTGGACAAATATTGAGTTAGCTGCTCATTTCCACTTTCAGATGGATTACAGGGGAAAACGCAAAGGAAGAAAAAAGAGAGAGAGAAGCAGAGAGAGGGGTCTCTGGGGGTGCAAATGGTTAAGTGCTCAACTATTAACTGAAAGGTTGGAGGTTCAAATCTATCCAGAGGTGCCTCGGAAGAAAGGCCTGGTGATCTGTTTCCAAATGTCACAGCCTTGAAAACTCCATGGAACAATTCTACGCTGACACGCATGGGGCTGCCATCAGTTGGAATTGACTCAACAGTAGCTGGTAAGGAGAGCGAGAGAGAGAAAAAAAAAAAGAGAGAGAGAGATGGAGAACCCATAAGCAAACTAAAAGAAAATATTTACAGATTTCGGGATGGTGAAGTACTTTCTAGATGTAAAATCAAATAAAGAAATTCTGAAGCGGGGAAAGACAGATATAGGTCAAAAAACACTAAAGAATTTAAAAGGCAAACCAGAACCTGGGAAAAAAATATTTGCTACAAGTACAATAAAGGGCTAATACCTATAATATATAGAGATTCCTATCAGGTTAATAAGACAGCATTAAATACCCAGTAAAACAATATGCAAAAGACCAGAACAGAATATTCAACAAAGAAATCTAAATAACTAATACCAAAACACCAAACCCAACCCATTGCTGTCGAGTCAATTCTGACTTTTAGTGACCCTACAGGACAGAGTAGAACTGCCCCATAGGGTTTCCAAGACTGTAAATCTTTTTTCTTTTGAACATTTTATTGTGCTTTAGGTGAAAGTTTACATAGTAAATTAGTTTCCCATTCATAATTCATACACAAATTTTCCATGACATTGGTTGTAATCTCTGCAATATGTCAGCACTCTCCCCATTTCCGCCCCACATTCCCATTTCCACTCACCCAGTTTCCTGCCCCTTCCCGCCTCCTCATCTTTGCTTTTGGACAAATGTTGCCCTTTGGGTCTCGGATAGATGATTGTTGTACGGAACACTTTCCTTACGGGTGTTATTGTTTATTTTATAGGACTGTCTGTGACTTGGCTGGAAGGGGATCTCCGGGAGTGGCTTCAGCTCCATGTTACAAGGCCGTCTTAGGGCTATAGTCTCGGTGGGTTCTCCCATCTCTATCAGACCGGTAAGTCTGGTCTTTTTTTTGTGCATTTGGATTTTGTTCTACATTTTTCTCCCACCCTAACCGGGACCTTCTATTGTGTTGCTGGTCAGAGCTGTTGGTACTGTAGCCAGGCACCATCTAGTTCTTCTGGTCTCAGCCTAGTGGAGGCTGTGGTCCATGAGGACAAAGCGGTAAACGTTTACGGAAGTAGACTGCCCCATCTTTCTCCCTTGGAGTGGCTGGTGGGTTTGAACCGCCGACCTTCCTGTTAGCAGTTGAATGTTTTCCCACTGTGTCCCCAGGTCTCTTTAAATATCTAATAGACATGGGAAAATGTTCCAATTTATTAATAATCAAAGAAATATAAGATAAATAAGATGTCTTTAGGTAGCGAGATAAGCAACCTGACAATGTTTTTGGATAACTCTTTTCTAATTTTTCTACAGTTACATTTA